CCTGCCACACAGAGGAATTACTGTCACACTGGATTTAAGGCTTGCAAGAAGTATAGGTTTATTCTGTGGCAGGGGCTACCAGTCCGTTTTCACCAGGGTCATCTGGCTTCCCTTGAGGTTGTGGCTTTAGTTTCCCCTTCCCCCTATGAAGCCAGGGTTGGAACTACTTACTGCATCTTGCTTTTATCATTCACCTTTCTGTTTGTACATCAATTTTTAGCTGTCCTGTCACCTCTTTTGTGATTCTTGATGCTCTTCCTCTCTTTGGAATATATTCTCTCCTTTTTTTTTTTTTTAACCTGACACTTCCCATTCATAGAGTTGCATAGAATAGAAGCTTCTATTATGCAACCTATCCCTAGAAGCTTTTTAAATTTATTTTGCATAGTAATCTTATGTTAAAGACATCTTATTTGGGTTTTGCCCTTGTGTTACTAATGAAGAGAAATTGTTGCTTTTAATGTCAATTATCAGTAGGGCTACATTGTATATTTTTTTGTGCTTTAAGAAATCTGTTTAAATGGTCAGCCCTTTTTTTCAAGTGCTGGGGATCTAACCCAGGGTCTGTGCATGGTAGATAACCTGTGTGCCACTGAGATGTACCCTCAGCCTGCTCATGTCATCCCTGTAGCCAAGCATGTTTATTATAATTTCTCTCCTATTTTTAGAATTATTTGCTTTTCAGACTCCATGAGGATTATTCCTATGTGTGTATAATACTTTTTGAAAAACTTTAAACATGTAAAAAACACTGTAAGTTTGTTCATACTTAAGGCCCATGTCTTACAAACAAAATACATTCTTAAATTTGCCTGTTGAACTGTTAGATTGCTGTTCTAGATGGCAGATCATAGTGACTGTACAAACCTTACAACGCTGTCAAGAGCATATTCATTTCTTCTGTAACAAAGATTGTGTTAAGTGAACAAAACACACAATTACAGGAGACTGCATTCTCTTTTTTAAGCCATGAGGCACAGAGACAAATGCTTAAAGTAGTATTGTTTTTTTTTTTTTTAATTTTTAATCTCAATTTAAGAAGAGGACATAGCCCGGGTTAAAGAGACAATCAACTGTGTGCCTACGTTTGTGTTGAAAAGTGTGGAGGATCCACATAACACCAGAGCTTGGTTAAACCCTCTGAGGTAGGCTGGTTGTAGATTCCATCATTGCTGTTGATTTCCTGTGATAAATCAGTCCTGGCTAGAGCATTAGCTTTCTACTTTAACTAAATGTTTGTAACCATTATAAAGGATGTTTCTTATTCCTTAGGTTGAGGAAATAAGTCATAAAGTCAACTGTCATGTCTTATATGGAATTTTTTTTTTCAATTATAGAACATCTAAAGTAGTAAAGTAGTAGAAATTCAAGCACTGAGAAGAAATGGGGAGAACATGAAAAAGGAAGAATTAAATATAAGCAACCACATGGCAGTGGAAAAAACACAGTTCCAGAACTTAACCATAGGAACTGTAAAACAGAAGGTAACAAGTCCCTTTGGCCCTGATCTGGTAACTGTAACACCAAGATCTAAAGAATCCCTTCAGAAAGAGCAGGCATATTTAAAAGTAATGACAAAGATGGAAAACACTGCAAATTTTACTGTGCCAGGGGAGAACAAATGACAAGTAACAGTGAAAATGCAGTGGTGGAACAGATAGCTTCAAATAGTACCTATGGCCCCTTCTCAAACATTTGTCTTATACAGATGACTTGCAGGACTGCTTGGTGAATCTGCAAGTAATCAGGTTGGTAGTACAACTTTTGATACAAGGGAAATGATTGTGATTCTAATCAAGGATGACTTTTTAAATAACATTTTTAAAATGTAACTTTTGAATACTATGATTTTTTTGTTTGTTTTTTTAAGACAGGATCTTGCTGTACCCAGGTTGGCCTAAAACTCGCAATCCTTCTGGCTCAGTCTCCCAAGTGCTGGGATTACAAATATACAATACCTGGCCTGGATCTAAATAGTATGATTTTAAAATAAAAGATGGAGCAGGAAAAGGTTAATTTGCACATGTTTGCAAGTGTACTTACTGTTTTAACTGATTAAATTTCAGTCTATGACTGCCTTTTGCTCATTTTTTTTTCAGGCATATTACTCTTTGGCCAAACTGGTCCCTTTTATTTGTGGTCACCTTTCCTCAGCTCTTCCATTCCATTCTTTCAGCCTGTCTTAATTGCAAGCCCTAAGTGTTCACAGTGGAAGACAATCTCTTCATCAGCTTCAACCAGGGATCATTCTGCTGCTTGTTTTGGTAAATAAAGTTTTATTGAAACACCCCCATGCCATTTGTCTCATACTGTCTATGGCAGCTTTAGGAGTACAGTGCCAGAGTTGTATAGTCACAGAGACTGTATGGTTTAGAAAGCAAAAATATTCACTGTCCATTTCCAGAAAAAGTAAACCACTGAAAGACCTCCTGTTTCTAGGATAGTACTTGAGAAGCCTGGGCTGTTGTGGTCAGTCCCTCCCCAACTCAGGACTTTGCAATATCAGCACATCTAAAGTTATTCCTAACAACTGCATGGGCTCAAGTCACCCAGAGAACTATCCTTCACTGACCACTGATATTAACCTATTTATTTGATCATTGTTTATCTTCCCCAATCAGAATATAACTCCATGGGGTAGGGCTTTTATGTGATTCCTTGCAATATTCACAGAGCTTTGATCAGTGCTCAGCACTTGATAGGTACTCATTAAATATTTGAGTAAGCAGAAGAAAAGGATATCTTGTTGACAATACTCCATCAAGTGCATTGGGGCCAAGTATGTTGTGGGCAAAGGGAAGATTTCTGTTATTCTTAGTAGTTTATTCCTACTGTAGAAATGTGTGTATCTTTTTCTTACAATAAAACTTTTGTTTGCTATGTGTGAATTAGTGAACCATAAAATCAATTTAGTGAGCAAGATCAGCATAGAATAGAATGGAAAAGAATAGATAATGTCAAAATTATTCAAATATTCAAAATTATTTGCATAATTTCAGTGAATTTCACTGGTAGGTGCAAGCATTATTTCCTGAAACTTTTCAGGAAAATGTTATATCAGGGTAAGTACATTTCTCATGAACTTTTTAGTAATTCTGCATGTGTCCTGGGCCTAATATAAAAAGTACTTAGTATATGTTGGGATCAGAAAAGTGAATTCTCTTCTAAGAGAAAGCCTTAGAAGACATGTAGAGACCTGGGAAGAAAGTTAAGACATTGGTATAAATTAAATGCTAGTATAAATGAGTGATGGGAAATAATTTCCTGATTTTGTAGAGTTAGAGATTATGAGGCAGGAGGTCCTGGCTCAGTGCAATGGAGTGTGGTGAGTGTGAGAACAAGACAGTAAGGGGGGCTGTTTGCCACCACCCCAGCTGGCTCCCAGTTCATGCTGCATCTCCCTGATGAGCATCCCTTAGTGAGTAAAATAACGTGGTAACTGACTCTGTTGACCCTCCAGAGGCCAAAAATGTTAAAGAATACAAGCTCAGCCAGTTGCCTAATGTCACAGTGTTAAGGTAGCAGTCAGCTAACATTTCTGGTTGGTTTAGTAGGCACAGTGGCTAGGGCCCATGAAGCTTTTAGGGGTTCCCCAAAATGTTTTAGCTTCTTTTAAAATCAGAAAAAAGGATACTATCCAGTCTTGATTACATTCATGCTAAATCAATACTGTTGCAAAGTACAATTTTTAGTATTGTTCATGCACTAAGGGGTCCATAAAGGCAGAAGTGCCTGGAGCCCATGAACATGTGGGGGGTCCTGGATGTCAGGGCCATCAGAATTATTTGAGGCATTCACTGAAGTACAGATTCCTGGGCACCACTCCAAAGCTACAGATTCTGCTTCTTTTGGGATGTGTTAGAGCTGGCAAATGCCTCAGCTGATCCAAAAACTGAAAAAGTTTAAGGTTCTTGGCTCTAAACCACCAAGATCTATTACAGGCTGGATATGAACTAGTTTGAGCAGGGGTTACTTGCTGTAGTTTTTATTCCTTCCAGATTGAGTAAACCATGCCTGGATCATGCCCTTCCTGCAATTTCCAACGGAATGTTAATACTGTCTGGATCAGTGGCCATTCTTTAACATTAAACTCCCCCCGACTTGTCCTTTAGAACAGAATTTTTACCAAGTAACATTTGTCAAGGAATTTTACTGGAAAAAGGAGGAAAATGACAAATTATTTGACATATTTATTGATTGAATTATTCTTCAGTGTAACACACTTGGCTATTCAGCCTTTCCCTGAGTTAACAAACCACTGGAGAACAAAAGTCAATAAGAACAGTTCTCTTGTTCCATTCCAGTTTCTTTCATCATTGGTAGTGTTCAGATGCCAATGGTTAGCAAGCCACCTCCAAGTCATAAAGAGTGTTTGCCAGTCCACTTGTAAACAAACAGCAGCAGCAGAATTTTCAAGACCTCTGTGTCATTGAAGCAGCATAGTAAGCCCCCTCGCCCTGACCACTTGAAGGTCTGGTGTTCCTAGGGGTCAGGGAAGAGCACTCTAATGCTCCCAGCACCCCCTAGTGACAGAGTATGTCTTCTTCACTTGCTCCATAGCAGCATCAGCTCTGGTTTCTTGATCTACAGAAGCCCCAAATGAAGAGAGGCAAAGGAAACCAAAGCTGGAAGGAAAAAAAAAAGCGCAAAGAAAATACGGGGTGTTTCACAGTTCTGAGATATTCCTGAAGCAATGGCATCAATCTGTATGGGAAGAGCGAAGGGCTTGACATCATCCCCAAGATCAGTTGCTGGGTCTGAGTGTCCTACCTACATGTAACTATCTTACTGATTTAAATTCTCAAGTTTATTTGGGAATTAGACCTCAATATGGGTCTCTTTCCATTATGAAAGAGAAGTTGAGGTAACTTCGACTTCAGTGACAAAGAAAGATTTTTTTATCTTAAAAAAATCTGTTAAGAAAGAAAAAAAGACTAAACTTTGTAATACAACTAGTTATGTACAAATGAATAATATTTTAAGGAAGGAACTGAAAAACATTAGCGTCTAAAAGTAATGAGGTATTCTGGGTATGCTTGGTAGTCATAAAATACCACAAATAAACTAGGATTTTGCTTATTGTCTGTGACAGTGTCATAGAGGTCAGTAGGATTTTGAGGGTCCTTTGCAGGAGGCACAATGTATGACTGATGTCCACATTCATATTCTCCAGTGAGCACACGTACGTAATACATATGCTTTTTCCCATTTACATCTGGTCGGGAGTATGTGTCACTGGCAGAATAATTGGCGTTTACAGCAAAATAGGTTCCCTTTCCATAACACACAGCTGTGAAGAGAAAAAAAAAACATTTTAAAGAAACTCAATGTAGTATATGGCCCAATATGTCAAACAATGTAAAAGAGAACATTCCATTTAAACATTTTGTGTGTGTGTATGAGTTTCATAAAAACTCAAATATTCCACCTCTCATGGTCAGTCAGGCCCTTTGGGAGGAAAAATACACTGACTGAGTCCTAGCCTGAAACTTGGGCTACCCGCTGGCTGCCTAGTGTAGGAGAAACAGTGCATCCACACTGTCCCTAGTCAGCTTGGGTTCTCAGGGCTGACACTTCATTCACAACAGTCAGATTACTCCCTTCCTTACCGTTCTTTCCAGCATAGCTGCGGTTGAAGCCATTTTTATTAACATGTGGCACTGAGCCAGCATCTGTCCCATGGAAGAGTTGCTTCTCATTCATTTTGTGGCCATTCTTGGCATCCATGGTTTTTTTCTTTGCTTGGTAGCTATTCCAGAGATCTGGATTCTGGATCCTTTCAATCTGTAAATTAGTAAGAAAAGTATTCTGCTAGGGTCAAGGGCGCTTGCCAAAGTACAGGAAACAAAACATGATCACTGCTTTTCACAAATAAAAAGTATGCTCAACAGAAAATTCAATGCCAGATGACAGCTTCCTGAATCCAGAAATCTTCTGAGATTCAGTGTTTCATAAACAAAGGCATTGGGGCAAATGTTGGTTTAGTTTTTAGCATCTTATGTGCACCTCACGAGAGCAAACATGTCTAGGATCTTTAATAGTCATTACATGAACTTTGCTGACTCTGCTTCTTCAACCCTTGCTTTTTTATATGCATTCCAATAAACATTGCTGATGCTGTCTACCTGTTTCTGTCACTTTCCCTCTTGCCATCCCAGCCCTCCTGGGATACTGGTTGTCCTACCCATATTGTAATAGTGGGAGAGACACTAGAATGTCTAGGCAAGAAGGAAAGTAATGGAAAGTTAGTTGCTGGACCAGCTGGACAAGTAGGGCATGAATCCTGATGAGGGGATCTGGCTGTAGACCAAGTAGCAAGGCTTAGACCAAACCATTTGCTCAGTGCCCTCCAGCAGTGTTGTAAAATTTGCTTGGGTTATGGATAACAGACATCTTTTAGGTTCCTCTAATCACCAAGTATAGCAGTTTTGTAAAGATATCCTGGATGAAGTATGGGGTAGGTAAGAGGGCTTTGTTCTCTCATGAAAAAGAACATGCTAAAGGTTCCATACCATCAGAGACTTTTTCCATTCTAGAGAAATCTTAGGCCTACCATTATTACCCACCATCATCTGGTTCTTTCTGTTCTGCTTTGAGGTTGTTATTTTTAATTAAGATACAATTTTTACTCTAGTTAAAAGTCTCAACATTATCACATAGGCTGTTTATCTGATTTATGACCTTAACCTTATTTTTCCCTACTAGTCTTTACATATAGTTAAATTTTCAATCTTCAAACTATGCCCATTTTTGCTTCCGCTCACCTTAAATTTTGTTTATGTCACTCAATTTTTACACCTTTAAATTTTTTCATAGAGTATAGAAAGCATCCTCAGTTTCTTACTGTTTTAATTCTAAAAATTGAAAGGTTGTTTTTTATATTTTTAAATTTTAATAACCACACAAAATAATTATTTCAGGGCCCAGGGTATAGCTCAGTGGTAAGAGTGCATGCTTAGCATGTGTGAGGCCCTGGGTTCAATTCCCAGCACCACAAAATTGTTTCAAATATTCTTGATCACCATAACCTGATTCTGTATTCTTAGCTGGATAAATTCTAAGGTCAAAAATTGCGACTCAGTCTTAAACTGTAAGTTTATTATCAGTAACAAGTTTATGGCCTGCACTGGATTACTTGTATCAGACTAACCCTCTCACTAACAACTACTAGAAGAGCTGGGGAAGAAAAAATTCTCTTTGAAGACAAGAAAGATTTGATGAGCCAAGATCCCAGAGAGAGGGGAAGTAAAAAATGAAACAATAAGGTCAGAATAGTGGATTGAGTTCTTCAAAGTGCTTAAAGAAAATAACAACCAATCCATAAAATAGCAAAGAAAAAAATCAAAGAATGAAGGTGAAATAAAGACATGTCCATACAAACACTGGAGTGAATTCTTCACTGCCAGATCTGTATTAGAAGAAGTACTAAATCCAGACAGAAAATGATCCCACATGGAAGCATGGAAATGCAGTGTAAAGTACAGTGGGAGGAAAGGATAAGTACATTCATAAATGTTAAAAGTAGCACAAATGTCAGGAGGGGGATAAAGATTATTGCATTTGCAAGGAAATGATGTATATTAGAATTTCATAAGTTGAGGATAAACATAATGTTAGAGAAATTGAGGGTGGATTTTAGCAGGACACATAACCCACATTCTAATGGGGGAGAAAATAGAATAACAAGAAATACTTAATCCAAAAGAAGACAGTAAAAGAGAACAAAGAGCAAAGAATAGATGTTATAAATAAAAAACAAAGATTAATGTGGAATACTTAAATCCAAACATATCAGTAAACATAGTAAATAAACTGATTACTTATTTAACTAAGTAAACTGATTAAGAACCTTAATGAAAAGATAAAAAGTAAAACTAAATTCAAGGATATTATGTTACTGAAAACCATGTTATAGATACAGTTATAGAATAATTAGAAAAAGAATAATATGCTAATAATAACCAAAGAAATGCAACATTGCTACTTTAATATATTACATATATGTAATAATAATTTTGGTGCCCTATTTTTTAAAAAGTTTCATGTGTGCTGTAGAATAAAACAAGTAAATCACTGCTACTAGGAACCAAAATTATAATAAAAGAGACATAAATATAAATATCTATTAATATTAAATTTTAGTTGAAAACATGAATTTTTCATAATTTTCTTAGCATTTGCCATGAAAGGACCTGGAAGCACCTCAGCAGCAGTGAGCACTCAGCACACAACGCTTAGTTATGTTGAGAAGGAAAAGTCAAGTCCAGGGCGAGGCTGCCAATACACAGCAAGCCGCCCCCCTCCCCAGGGCCCACTGCAGACGTTGCTGAACTGGGACTTCATTCCCGCTCAATCTGAATTTGCATCTCATCACAATGTGCAATAAACCACTACCACTTGTCTTCAGTTGGTATTTTGAACAACACTTCTTTGTTATCTCAGAAGTAAACCACCAAAGAGCTGCATTCTTGAAGCCCACTGTGTCTTGATGCCTCAAAGAATTGTTTCAGTCAATCCAAGCACCAGTTTATTCAACTCATTTGCAAGAAGGAATGTTTTTAAAAAGTCATATAAGTTTAATAATGAATTAATTGTAAAGATAATATTAAGGATGTTCTCCAGTACTTGACCCTCAGGAGAAATTTCTGGGGAATCATTCTTAGTGTTGTGCAGAGTTGTGAGTCATCATTGTGGACATTATGGGTCTTGAGCTGGGAGCTTAATTCTTTGCTTTGTCTACCAGGAAACTCAAGGGGATGTGCACAACTGTCTAGGACTTCCTGTTATATGTTTTGTATATCAGCAATACTTCCATGTCATCTTATTTTCCCTAATTTCTTTATCTCTTTCCCCATCTTTCTTCATCTGTTCATTTCATTTAAAAGTATACTATATATCTATTTAAATGTATACTATTTAAGTATACATTTAAAATCTTTTCAATTATTATTTGCTTTGCTACATGATAAACATAGTGGTACCAGGCAGATAGAGAGCAAGGAAAAAACTGCAAAGAAAGAAAAGGGAGGCTTTGTTGGCAGACTCATTGCTGTTGATGTAAGGAAGACAGACAGATCTCTGACTTTTCTCAAAAAGTAGTGGGATCAGGGATAGAAAGTAGAAGGAAGTGAAAAGAGAATTGGAGACTTTCTTTTTTACACTACTGGGAGCACATTCTAGAAACTCTAGTAAAGATCCACACTAGTAACGTTGATTTGGAAGATGCCTACACTGAAATAATAGCCAAAGTCAAGAAGGGTAAAAAACATTGCCCAAACAGAAGACCAAAGTATAAATCCTGTGGATAAAATGAGATTGGGGGTTTGGGGAAGAAATAGATGCCAATGATAATGCAAGGAAAATTAGATGAAGAGGGAGCAAAAAGAATAAAGTACATTGCAGTAGAAGTCAAGAAAGAACAGAATTTCAAAAGGTAATATTAATAGTTTTTAAATGTGGAAGATAACAAAATAATTTATGAACAAGGAAAGGACCATTGAACTTATCAAGACATAAATCTTGGCCTGCAAATGGGGGACAGGAGACTAGAATCCTGATTGAGGAGTCTTCATGTGTCTCTGTGCTGTTTGCTGGTTATCAAATCCAACTTTGAAATCATATCTTTGAATTTTTATTAGTCTACTTCACAAAGAAATATGGTGAATCTTTAATATTCTAACATCATATTGCCATCTTGTTGTATTGTAATAACTGACAACAATCATCTTAACATCTCAGTAATTATGGTGACGTGAGTAGAATCTACAATTTAGTTACCATCCAAGTTGTAATTCTTGGCAAATAAGGCACCTAGGAAGTGAGTGAAATGTTTTATACAGGACCGTGATAACTTTTATTTCTATCATCAGGAAATTCCACGTCAGCAGCAGGCTTACCTTCTCTATGACAAAGGATGAGCAGGTCTCTTTAAATTTGCTAGCCACAGTGTTGTATTCTGGATCAGCAGGGTGCAGCTGGACCACACACAAATTCTGCTGCTTCATGTCACTCCAGTGTGCAGGGAATTCAGCTGCAAAGGAGACATTTGGGGGTTCCCTGCACATTCCAGGTATTTTTGAAAAACTAATTTTATGGGTTCTTGTGTTATTATCTTCCAATTCTATGTTTTCAAGAAGTTTCTTATCTTTCTAGGATAAGAAACTTTGAAAAAGACCAACCAGATCAGAACCAACTGTAATGCTTGTTAAAAACAAAAGAAAATTGGCTAGAGGCTTAGTTCAGGGTAGATTACTTATCTAGAATGTACAAGGCCCTAAGTTCACTTACCAACAACACCTCCCCTACCCCAAAACAGCCACAGATGTGTTAAATCAGGATTTCTGAAGGGTGGAGCTTGTGTGTCTTAAGTTTTGATCATGTTAAGATGTGAAAATAGCTGACACAGTGTAACTCATCTGCATTTCTGTTAAGTGTCCACTGTTGTAATTTAGCAAAACATTATTCTTCTACCATGTTTTCACTATGGTTTCGTTTACACATGAACTTTTGCCAGAACACCTCATCACCACCGTGACAGGGCACACCATGTATCTTATCTCATTTTTATTTACTGCATAGTTAAGAGGTTTACAGATGGAAGGCTTTGTATGTGATCCGTTGTGGTGGCAACTCTATCTCCTACCAGTTAAGCAGAACAATACGTGTAATTTGTTGCTGCTCAGAATGTGAGGAGCCCATTCTCTCTCATCTCATAAAAGATGAATATAGGGTACGGGAAGCCAAGTTATTAGTTTTTAATGGGGGATTTATGTGGTCTAAATCAAGAATTGGTGTCTGTACAAATCTTTTCCTGGAGATCTGATCCAGGAGGGGATACCAAGGCTGCTTCCTGATGTGTGTACCCAGAAACCTGCTGCTCAGGACAGAGATGACATGGGGGTAGAACCAGGATCCTCCTTGGGTCATCAATCACAGTCACAGTTACAGCCCACTCTCTGACCTGACTGTCCTCTCCATCTCTACCCCTTGCCCTTTTCTAGAAAACCTTGGATCACTTTTCCTTTAAGGCTATTGTTTTCCTTCCTCTGACTGAAGCAATCATTTCCCCCTAGTAGAACCAGCTCTGGGAAGCTTTTCAACTGTAGAGATGAGAACAAATGCAAGGTCTGGCCATTGCTACCATTGATGTGGTCTTTCTCAGTCTATCACATCCACACTACATTTTCCTGGCCATAATGTAAGCTCTAAAAAATCAGAGACCAAGTTTTCTAGCTTATTGCATTGCAGTTGTATATATAAAATAGTATTAAGCCAAAAGTGTATGTAAAGTAATGGATTGCAAGCATGAACGTTTAACTCACCTTCAGATTTTGTTAGGCGCTGAATAGTTAAGCTGTGTCCATTTGGACCTGTGGCAGTGTATGTGCTCAAGTTCACTGTGTAGTCCTGATTATTAATTTTGACCACAGTGCTCTTGTCCTTTGCTCTCCTTGCATCTTCTAATTGCAGACTGGTTATTTTGTCAAAATGATGAAAAGTGTTATTGTCATTATATTGCCATTCTATAAACTCACTGATACAATCTGCTCGGTTTTCCTTTTCTTTGGCCAGTCTAGCACTCTTGATCATTTCCTCGATTTCATCTCTAGCTTGCATCACATTTCTGCTAAGTCCCCAAACCTCAATCAAAGGTTTCTTCTTGTCCAGGGAAATGGTAATATTTAACCTCTTCTGCAGCTCATTCAGTTCTTTATACTCCTTTTCATCAAAGTCTTTGATACACTCATTATCAGTAGTGTAAGGACAGTGCTCTTTTTTAATCAGCTCCTGTACCCAGGAGATAGTGTTGTCAACACAGTTTACATCTTCACCACACACCTGGAAAGTTGTCACTTCTGTTTTCTTTTCCAAAACCGAGGGATTCTGGTTTTTGGGTGATGGCCTTGAAAAGTTCAAAAGGGCTAAAGAGAAAAAAGAGATTAGCTATTTCCCATGCAATTGCAATGTTAGGAACATGCATTACATAACAATGAACAACTCACAGATAATTTTAGACACCACAGATGGTTGGGGAGGAGGCTGAGACCCTTCTTTTTTTTTCATGATGGAATAAAACACATCCAGTAATTGGGGCTGAAAGATAACAACTTTAACTTTTTTAACAGACTGGACTGATCCTTCCTGGATAAATTCTTCAATGGCATCAATTATGGCTTCAGCAACCTTATCTGGGCCTTTTCTGGCATTTCCTGCAAAAGCAAATAATAAAAATGATTGGAGGAGGGAAACAAGATCCAACTGGAAAAGACTAAAGAATATAAATTAGGGATTCTTATTTTTGCAGAATAAATTCCTGGTCCCCAACTCCTTTATCAACTGTAAACTTTCTAACAACACATCAAACAGTAACATTTTTGAAGTCCTAAGTATAGTGAGGAGTTTTTGTACCAGGATGTACACAAGCTAGCATCCAGCATGGGACCCTGGAACCTAACTTCTGATTTGTGACATTCATGTTGTCCTGTTCAGCTGACTCCGGGTCTCTGTGTTCCTCCCCACCTGTTACAGAGTATAAGTAACTTTTCTTCTTGGCTTACTAGCCTCCTCAAAAGGCTTATTAAAAACAGAAGATGCTAATGCACATTGAAAGAGCATACATCTTAGAGGGAAAAAAACAACTTTTTTTGCTTTGTCATCACTTGCTTTTATGCATGAATCCATGTTTTCCAGATATTGTTGGTAACCTCATTTAAACTAAGGTGATTTTGGAAGATACCCAGAACTATAAGCTACTTGTTACAGTGTATAATTCTTTGCATGTGTTATTCTGAGCTTCCAGGAAGTCTTATGTCCCACACTCAGTGAGACTTTAGCTGACACTCAAGGTTCAAGGTAGCCACTGACCAAATCCATTCCAGTTTCCACAATGCTCCATATTTTGTTTCTGAAGCCATGAAAGCTACTGCCTAAGTAAAATCATAAAAGTTCCCTTCCAAATATCTGCCATGTCCTATTATGTGTGAGATATGCACCTGTCCACCCACTAGGACATAGAGGATATGATGTGTGAGATGAACAGAGGGTTCAATAGGTAAAGTATGGAAAATCAAGGGAAAGACTGCCAGATGGTACTGTGTCATGGGTATGACATGGTCAGCCTGGCATGGACAGAAAAATAGACCAGATTTTGAGAAAGAGAAATGTGGAGGGGTTGAGGTGGCACTGCAGTGGGGAATCCAGGTTTAGCCTGAAATCCTTAACAAACTTAGGCAAAAGACCAGTTTAAAAAAAAAAGTAGGGAGACCAGAATAAAGACTCAGCTGCAGGCACTGAAGAGACATTTGGGAAGTAAAATTAGAGGTCCTAGTTACCAACAAAGTTTATACTTGACCCTTCCCAATCCCTCTTTGCCACCCACATACCCTCACTATATCATGGGTTGTGCTATGTTGCAGTCATTCATTTACACATCTGATTCTCCCACATGGCTAGGTGCTCTGACTCTAGCTGCTGTGGACTGGACCCTTTCCTTAGTTATCCTTCTGGTTTCATGTCCTGAACACATAAATATTTAATCACAGAAAGTAATGAGCTAATAAACACAGGAATGATAAAGAGAGTAGAGTTAAGGATTCAGAATGGAAAGCTATGCTTTCCATATGATTGGGGGTATAACATGGAGGTTATATTGGTGGGAGAAATGACTAGGAGTTTAGATTTTATGATGAGTTTTAGGTGCTTCCAGTTATTGCTGACCCCTTTTACCTCTCCTTATATAGGTGTCTGTAAGAAACAGGGAGAAGTTTCATGGAATCACAAGCCCAGTCCTTACTCTGGATAGACTCTACTAAGGGGTCATCTAAAGATCAGCTTATGTGGTGATGAAGACAGCTAAAGGTGATGAAGACAATCAAGGAGAAGTTGCTAACTCTGATTTATTTTCATAGACAGGAGTTCAACCAGGTAAGTGGAAGAAAAAACACAGAAATACTCAAATATGTGTGCATATTTATACAAAATGAAAATGCCTTATTTCCTTGTTTCTTCTTTTGATTCCACTCAGGAAGATATATGCACCCCTGGGCTGCTGCTTTCTTGGGCCAAAGTAATTTAACATGAAAACACAAAACTAGATTTCATAGGAAAAAAAGATGGACACAGAGAGTGAAGAAACATTGGTGAGTGTCTACAAAGGTAGATAAGTACAAAGATAGATAGAGGGACAGGTGAAATGCTGGCTAATATGCTAGAAATAGCTGACAAAATAAGGTAATAAAAATTTAGAAGGATCATAAATTATACTTTTGAAATACAAAAATTGTAAAGTAGGCATATAATTTCATCTTGGAACATTATGGGTAATTGTAGAGAAGTATAGAAAGCAACGTGTGGGACAGAGGATTGGAAGAAGGCCCAGAGTGACTAGGATGTCTCAGCTTATTGAGACTAAACTTTTGGAGAGCCTAAAATGGCAGTCTGAGACAGTCAAAAACTATGATTCCAGAGAAGAAGATTGAAAGCTCAGTGCTGGGTGCTCCCTCACTGGGACCAGTTCAAATAATTCCCTTTTATCCTGAGAGTGCATGCTTCTCTTGACCAGCTCCCCTCTAGGAGATCAAGAAGAAACCCTTCATCAGTGCACATGACTCAGATTCCTGGAGCAGAGCTCGAAGGGCATCTCCTCAGTAAAGATGAACCCCAAATACTATAACTATTTGTGAAGAGTCACACAATCAGCACATAGTTTGAGAAACTCAAAAGAAGCAAGTGGGCTGAAAGAGGGACTTGGAGAGTTGAGTTCCTGGCCTACTATGTTTTGGAAACAGAGACTTCTACAGAGAGGTAGATGAAGGTCAACAGGCAGAGCTAACTATGAGCTGAGGGCTAGAAATGCTCATCTGGTAGTCAGCTAAGGCCAGAGAAAGTAGATGCTCTGATATTCTCCATGGGGAGGGGTAGAGAAGCAAGTTGTAAGATATATGGGGAAGTGAAAAAAGAGGGAGGAAAAGCTGAATGAGCATGAGGGACGGTTTTTCCATGGCTTTCCTTCTCTCCTCCCTCATTACTTTCCCTTCCCTTCTGTCTAATCTTTTGACACTGTTTTATTTTGTTATAGACAGTGTCTCACTGTGTTGCTCAGACTGGCTTGGAACGTGTGAGCTTTTGTCTCGGGTTTCTCAGTAGTGGGACTAGGCACTTCTGACACTGCACCCATTTATTTTTTTTACCTCTTTTACTTAAAGCACCCATAGGCTTTGCTTATTCCCTCAGAGGTGCCTTGGCGTGAGGAAGCTTCCACTCCTAGATCATTGCCACTGTCCTCACTTGAACTCGTTGTGTATCAACCACATTAACACTCGGCACAAATCCATGGGAAAGTGGACACAAACCTGTCCCAATAGCTGGGAGGCAAATGGATGAGTAATTCCGTTTTTCACATTCTTGCAACACACAGGAAACAGATTTCTTGACATTATTCCCACCATGAACATGAATAATATTCTTGCACTTCAGTGATCCACCTTCAGTAACTATATACTCATTGTTGCCCTGATGAGCTGGAAACATGGACAAAAAATACAAAATTAGATGTTGAACCTACTCTTTGTTTAGAAAGCAAAATGTCTGAGATGGCAAGGAAGCATTTTGTGAATAAGAAACTCCTGAAACACTATCCTTGATGAAATTTTATGGCTTAATTTCTCTTTTTAATGTCTAATTTTCTGTAATTGGAATTCTTTAATAAAATAGATGATTTACAATGTGAGTCAATGCCCTGTATAGCTATCCTTATCTCAACCAGCAAAAACACTTGCTCCTTCCTATTATTGCTTATACTCTCTCTACAACAAAATTAGAAATAAGGGCAAAATAGTTTCTGCTGGGTATTGAGGGGGGAGGAGAGGGAGGGGGCGGAGTGGGTGGTAAGGGAGGAGGTGGGGGCAGGGGGGAGAAATGAACCAAGCTTTGTATGCACATATGAATAATAAAAGAAAAATGAAAAAAAAATAGATGATTTAAAGACAAATGTGTTGTCTTCCCAGCCCCAAGACTTCTTGGTCTTTTCATAGCCTCCCATAGTCAGTCTTCTACTTAAAATTTACAACCAAAAGTATCATTGTCCTTACCCAGCCGAGCACATTCCATTTCCACATTTTGTCCTGCACCTTCTAAAATCGCTTTGGAGACTCCTATGTGAGAAAATCAAAATAGAAATAAACAAAAAGAAATCACTACAGTATAATTAGAAATCGCCTCATTATCATCAATGGAGTCCTGTACCTGGGTATTACTGATAGCAATGAACAAAAATTCATAAAAGAACTTGCCAATTTTAGGAAATTCTGTCAAAATATTTAAAAATTACCAATTAATATGAGCAAGCCCATGATATCAAAACCAGTTTGCTACAGAAACTCTCTTTCATAGGATCTACCTTGTTAATTATTACACTAGTCAAAATCATATGAGTGAAGTACCTGATTTGAGGTTAAATGTATTTGATGTTGAATTTACAATTACATCTGCTGCTTCTTTGGTGATATCTCCAGAGGCCACCTGAAACAGGATAGGGCCAATCTTCATTTCATGTTCTCCTGAAGCAGGGCTAGAAACAGCCCCACAGAGACCTGCCAAGAAAAAAAGTGGAGCCAATCACTAAGTCAGCAAGAGCAAGAATGACTTACATGGGCTTCCTTCTTTCTCTGTGACTTTACCCTTTACCCTGCTCCTGTCTCTGAGCCCTAGTGATGTCCTGTTTCTAGAAAAGGATTAGAAAATACAATTCATATCATAATGGTGTCTGGACTGGCAGAGGTGAAGTCAGTGTCCTAGAATCTCTCTCACAAGTACAACTAGAAACTCAAAACGAAATGCCACCACCTTAGAACTCTGAACAGTTAACAGCAGCAGGCAGGTTAGGGAAGGGACTCAAAACTTAAAGATACAACTTGTGCAGAGAGTGTCTCATTTGTAATAATTCAGAAGTTCCAAAACTTGATGAAAGAGATACATTTTTAAACTCAAGAAGGCACTTTGAAGCCAGGCATAATTGCACAGGCCTGTAGCCCAAGCTGTTTGTGAGGCCGAACCAGGAGAATCACTTGACCCCAGGAGTTCAAGGCTGCCTGGGCAACAAAAAATACCTTGGTGAATCTCAAAACAGGATAAACTCAAAAATAACAACTCAGATTTGACAGAGGAGAAGCCTTTGGTTGGCACCATCTCTCAATATGTCTGTTTTGGAAAGTACATGTCATATTATCTTTGAAAGTAGTAGTTTGGTCACTAACTACTTAAAAACCCATTGTATGGATTATATTATTTGTCCCACCTTTTACCGCAGATCACTAAAGTCTGTGTCTTGTACACTAAGGTTTATGGAACTTAATTTAGTATGCTATTTATCACTCAATTATTTCAGAAAAGTCATCACTACCATCTTTTACTTGTCACTGTATAGATACTTAGCAACTAGGAATCATTTGTCAATTTAAAAGCCTTACTGAACCTTGTGTATCTTCAGCCTTAGGAATTTTGTCACTAAGATTTCCATTTTTCCTTCTGGAAAATTCATCTGAAAATGCCTAGAAATACAAACATAATTTTTACCATTACAACCCTCAGGTGATGAATGAATTTGATTCATCAGGGCTTTTGAACATCCATGCACATACACCTACACATACATACTTAGGAAAGAACAATTCTCAAAGAGTATTACTTAATTTTTTGATAGACTTTTAAAGTCACAAAAAATACATATAGTTCTGTTTCTATAAATATGTCCTATGAAAATTATCAAAGATGTGAACAAAGCTATAAATACAAGGATATTCATTAGTTGCTACTCATAATACAGAAAAATAAAACAGTTAAAATCCAACAGTGAAATGGTTAAGTAAGTTTTGATATGTCCATGTGTTAGAATGGAATATTTAGCACCCATTGAAAAACATTTGCATTAAAGATATTTAATGCAATTGAGAAGTGTTCATTTGTCCTACTAGATAAAAACAGAAAGATATTAAATTACATATTATATAATCCCACTTTACTAATTTTGGCAGTAGTGGTATTCGAACTTTTAGGCAAGGACTCTTATCTCTTGAGCCATGCTCCCAGTCCTTTATGATTCCATTTGTTTTTGTTTTTTTTTCAGATAGAATTTGATTCTTTGCAGGGAGTAGCCTTAGACTGTGAGCCTCCTAACCCTGCCTCCCTTCTAGCTAGGATTCCAGACATGTGCTACCATGTCCAGACCTAATACCACTTTAAAAATCTATTTGCACCAAAAAAGACTGAGATGAAAGACAAGTAAAGAAGTTATGCATTTTGTATTGTTTCAAGCTTCTACCATTAAAATCAATTGCCTTCATAATTAGAAAAAGCAAATAACTTGTCAATATGTATTTAAAAAAGTATAGTGTTTTAAAAGAAAGACAATCCCACAGTCTCAAACCTACAAGTTTTTAAGTTCTTAACTATATCAGGAGAGGAGCAAGAGGCTAGTACATGTATCCCATACAATAAGAATCTGTGAATTTCTCTTTTCTTTTTTCATTTTTTTTGGGGGGAAGACTAGTAGGACACTGCAATATCCTCCTTTCTTTCCTTCCTTCCTTCCTTTCTGGACTAGGATGTGAACCTATGGCTCTACTGCCTGAGTCACACCTCTAGTCCATTTTCTTCTGGTTATTTTGGAGATGAGGTCTTAGGAACTATTTGCCAGACTGGCCTCAAACTTCGATCCTCCTAATCTTGGCTTACCAAGTAGCTAGGATTATAGGCATGAGCACTGGCACCCAGCACTTTCTTTTCCTTATAAACAAGAAACAGAGAGTTTTGTTGGCAGTATACAAGCTAGACTGACACAGTGGTGGGGAAGGGATGGGAAGAGACTGATGAGTAAGGGTCTCAGACTCACAGGCCTCTAGGGCCAGGCAGGTAAAGTACACGGTAAAAGTGAACTGATTTAAGTCTGGAGAACAAGTGAGGACCTGCCACTCAGTCACAGCAAACTCTTCTTGGCAGGGATCCCTGTCCAGCTTTCCAGAAGGTTGAGGTTTTAGGCCACATCATTTTTGGACATCTGAAGTTTTATATGAAATGTTTTGGCTTTTAAATATTAGACACTAATTTAAAAAATTTTTAAAAAACCCAAATAAAGCATATCTAGAAAGCATGGTTAGACTGTGGGCTGCTGTTTTGCAACCTGTTATATTCTCCACTTAAAAGCATCTCCGTAAGTTTCCCTTTTTGTGAAAATGCAATCAAAGTTAAAATGTCTTTAAAAAAACTTAAGAGAAAAATGTAACAGCCATGTATGGAGAATAAACAGCATTTTGAGTAGTACTAAAGGTATCTGTAAAACTAATCCATTTTAAAGAATACTTGCCGAATACTCAAGTGTTTAGGAAAGAAAATGAAAACAGTAAGGTTTGAAGACGCAGGTCTGTGTTACCAGATTCACACCTCTAGCCACTCAGCCATCCATTCTAAATGCTCAATACCTCATGCCTCTAGTTTAGTTTGCTTTGTGTATATAAATCTAAGTTTCCAAAGTAATTATGATTTATAAGAGGGAAAGTATATGCTATATACTGTGTTCCATGACCCATATCACCTCAAACAATGTAAGCAGAGAGAGGTTGATAAAAGCTCTTTTACTGAGTAGAAGTAACTGTAATTATAGAAGCCAACTGAATGGATCATGCATTTTACCCACATGGTTTAGTTGCCTTGTTGGAATGCGGGTCAGATGTGCTTGCTTCCAAAGAATTTATAGGACTTAAAAATTCAGATGGTCCAATAATCCATGGACATCTCTTAGGATGCTGGCTTTAATCAGTTAGTTAAATTCTTGCAATATCATGGAACTTTTCAAACATTTAATGCCATCTACTCTCCTGGATTATGAAGATCTGGAGGACAGGGAGAGGGGCTTAAATGCCTCTGGTTCTCCCATATCGCCAAGTCTAGGGACTCACCCCCAACCAGTGTTCAGTAAATATGAGCTGACTGGTAGATTATTACTGAGAAGGTTTTGGTATTCCTGGTCCCAACTCTCCTACTCACATGGGATATGCTGATTCATTCTAACTATACCTTTCACTTATAATTAATCTTATTTTTAGGAATAGGAACAGGAATTATTTGTATCCATCCTGACATCTTCACAACTGTGCTTTTATATTATGTATTATCATGTCTAGGTGGTGCACATGGAAAGGAATCCTATAGGCTAAAATAATCTTAAGGAATCTGTCACCACTATTACAATATGGAAGCTTTATTTGATTCTGATTCAAACATAAGTAGTAAAGACAAAACACTAATGAGACAGTTGAAAATTTGAACATTGACTTTATAATGATCAAACAAAAAGATTGATTACCATATTTGCTTTAGATATGATACAATACTGCAGCTATGTTACCTTTTTAAAAAAATCCTTGTTTAAAATAAATTTCTGGGAGTTGTGGGGGTGTAGTTCAAGTAGTAGAGTGTTAGCTGAGCAAACAAGAGACCCTGGGTTCAACTTCCAGTATAGAAAAGAAATTTTAATGAAATGAAATGAATTGCTGATATTTATGTCTGGGATTTGCTTCAAAGTAATATGAGAGGAAATTGGGCACCAGTGACTGAAGCCTTAATCCTAGCTATTTGGGAGGTAGACATCTGGATGACCATGCTTCAAGGCCAGCCCAGGCAAATAGTTTGTGAGAACTCCATCTCCGAAATGACCTGCTAGAGGTGTGGTTCAACCAGTAGATTGCCTGCTTTGCAAGGGCAAAGCCCTGAGTTTAAACTCCAGTCTCACTAATGACAGCAAAAAGGAGTAATATGATAAATTAGTGTAGATAGAGATAAAACATATTGTCTATGGACTGATAACAGTTGAATCCAAATAATGGATATGAAGAAGTTAATTAGAATAATCAACTTTTTATGTATTTAAAATTTTCCTGAATAAAACTTAATTTTTTTGATAATTTTTCTTGAAACTTGTGTTACAATTGGTCAACTACTCTTTTATTTTCCTATATGAGAAATACATGAAGGACACATCTTATTAGATCAAGAAGACTTTTGAGAACATTAGTTTTCACACACAGGTGAAATTAATAAGAAATGAGTCAAGGTTGTACCTGGATATTTTCATGATCTTTTGGGTGCACCAGAAATTGAACCTCTTGTAAAGATTTCAGTTGATTCTTGCTGCTAAATTTCAACACTTCTGAAATGATTAATTCAGCAAATAAAGGCTTAGGAAATCCCAAATTTCCTGTTCCTATTGCTGGAAACCCAATTGATTGTAAAGATAATTTCTCAGTGATCTCCAAACAGCCTCTGATTATGTCTTCCATGATCTGAAAAGCACAAAGCACATTTGTATATGCCTTGCCTAGAAATGAGAGTTAGAACCAAGAACAAGAATTAATAAACTTTGTGATCTCTGTTCTGTCTATTTTGCTATCCATAGAGGTTAAGAGTGGTCAGAAGAGAAAAGAAAAACACAGGAAAAAAGGAAAGGGAAAAGAGAATGTGGGAGACTCTGTACGATGGTTCAAACTCACTCTGTCATGAAGGAAGGCAGAAAAGCAACAAATGTACTTGTTCTCCATTGTCTTCCATTTTCAGGCATTGCCTCACTTTTCTGACTAATGTAGGAAAATTTTCAATAGCTTCTCACCCCAGTAGTTACTGAGCACAATAATAAATTTATATTATTAACTAGCCCAGCAAGATGTCAGCCACAGCTGAAAGCAATGGCCATAATGATGGAACCTGCCTCAAATGTGATATTACTACAGAAGAGAAGTAGACAGCATCTAACCTAGAGAATACTGAAAGGACAATCCAAATATTACCCCAGGTCCTAGAGAATTTAAAAACAGGCCCTACCTGTCGTGAAGATGTGCTGTCATTTCCCCAAATTGGAGCCACCACATGAAGCACATGACTGCAGTGCAGGTTACAACCGTTGGTTTGGAGAATTGTGCCCACATTGACAGTGACTCCTTGTCCAGCGGCGTCCAACTCCTTCTGGAGCTTTGGCCCAGCTTTTTCCAAGAGGGCCTGAGAAAGGGGCCCTCCTTGGAGCCCAAGATCCAAGGGTACAGAATTGACAATGACCTGGGTCTTAAATACAAAACCAGAAGGCATTCATCATCCATGGCTTCATTGAAGCCACTGAGCTTGGCACAATGGGGAACAATGAAGATGATTAAGGTTTTGGAGACTGAAATACCAATCCAAGACAAAGGGTTGCTAGACACTTATTTAAGCAAAGCTCCAGGGAAAAAGAGAGCTTTCAAAAAAGAACCTGTAAATGGCATGGGATAACTTGAGGAGTTCAGAAGAAGGCCCTTCAATGCCTGGTGAAGATGCCATGGGCAATGTGGGGCCTGAGAAATGGGAATAGTTGCAGCAGGCAGAGAGCACCAGGGAATGGCTTGCATTACTCATGGTGGATTGGGAGCTGTGAGCACGTTGGTCTGAGCTGATGGAGAGCTTCTGCCACCAGGGTAGACATGGTGCCCTGGAGTAGACTGCAGATGGCCCACCTTGTGTGCCAAGCCACAACCTTGGAAGCTTTTCCATCGGAGTACATGTGAGCAGATAATCAGGCTGGATTAGAGAGGCGGAGAAGAGAGAGGAGAAGAAATGTGTCCCTCTGCGTGGGTCTCTGAGGAGTAAGCACAGTAGTTACTGTGGCAGTGGAAGCCACACACCTTGGGAGGAAAAGGAATGGAAAGAACATCTTCAAGTTCATGTCAGGGGGACCAGGAACAGAACTCATTCCCATTCCTCTTGGGCAAAAGAGCATGATCTTTATTTGTTTGGTTTTTATAATGAGAAACAAAATTATTTTCAAGATATTGAATGTTGCAATAGTTAAGAATCTGGACAAATTTCAATCCTTGCTCTACCTGTTTGCTAGCTGTGGGACTTGCGCAAATTACTCAACCCCTCTAAATGTCATTCCCTCATATGTGAAGTGAGAATAATGCCCTAGAATCTACCGCATGACATTGAATGAGAAAATGCAGGTAAAGCACTTAGCACAATGTCTGACACAAAGTAACAGTCAACGTTAGCCATTATTCTTGCAATTACTGCTTATGTTTACTGTAAGGAGAAATCAAATTAATCTTCCAGTTTATTACTTTAAACTAAAACAAAAATATTTTTTAAAATGCAGCAACGTGAAATAGAGGAAACTTGGTCCACAGAATATGAAAAAACATTTGCAAATCACATATCTAATAATGGACCTGTATCCAAAATATATGAAGAACATTTACAATTCAACACAATAAAAGGACAACCAACATAAAAGTTGGCAAAGGATCTAAATAGACATTTCTTCAAAGAAGATATTTAAAAGGCCAAAAGGCACATGAAAAGACACTTGATATCATTAGTCATTAGGGAACTACAAATCAAAACCACAGTATGCTATCACTTCACACTTCTAGGCAGGCTATAATAAAAAAGACAAATAAAAATAAGATTTAACAAGGATGTGAAGAAATTGTAATGCTCAACTTTGCTAACAGAAATATAAAATGATACAACTTGGGAAATTGCCTACTGGTTCCTCAGAGTCCAACCTGGGGTTACCACATGACTCAGTCATGTCACTCCTAGGTGACATCACTCAAGAGAATCAAAAATAGTTGTTAATACACATTTGGTAAATAAATGCTCATAGAAACAGTACTCATAAAAGTGAAAGTGTAAGCTGGGTGCAGTGGTACATACCTATGAGATGGGGATCATGATTTGAGGTCAGGCTGGGCAAAAAGTTAGCAAGATACTACCTCAATCACTAAAAAGCTGTACATGGTAGCACACACCTGTCACCCCAGTTAGGTGAGAAGTGTACATAGGAGGATCACAGTCTAGGCCAGCCCAGACATAAATATGATACCCTATTTCAAAAAATGATCAAAGCCAAAAGGGTTAGAGGCATGACTCAAGTGGTAGAGGGCCTTCCAAGAAGAACAAGACCCTGAGTTGAAATCACAGTCCCACTAAAAAAGTCAAAGAGTATAAAAAATTCAAAATTCAAATGTTTACCAGCTGATGATTGGGTAAACAAAATATATATCCATACAATGAAATATCATTTAGTTTTAAAAAGCAATGAAGTACTGATACATGCTACAACATGGATGAATCTTACAGATATTCTTCTCAGTGAAAAAAGCCAGTCACAGAAGATCACTTATTGTATGATTTCATTTATATGAAATTTCCAGAATAGTCTAATTTGTAGAAAAATAGAAGATTAGTGGTTGCCTAGGGTTAGAGAGGTGTGGTTGATGGGTAGATCAAATGGGAGTGACTGATATTGGACACAGTTTTCCTTCTGGAGTGATAAAAATGTGTCACTGGCTATCACATTGAATTGGACACTGTTTTGGTTAGATTCTAAAAGATATCCTTTCTTGTAAACAATTTATAGCAAAACATTTAACAGTTTTATTAAATCTACTCCATCTAATATCATATAAAGCATACCCAGCTGTGTGCTGTTTAAAGATAAGTGTTTAAGGACAAGTGTCATCTAATGGTGACAATTGAGGTTTTTGAATAAAACTTTGAAGCTTGATTACAAACTTCATTGTGTTGTGCTGTGATGCCTTTTTCCTTTTAGGTGTATTGTGCTAATAAATCTTCCTTTTAAAAAGTAGACCCAGAAAGACCTCAGAGCTGTCTGGGGACACAGGCAGGGCATTCACCCATCCTGTGCCCCATGCTCTTTTTGGCAGCCTGAGTACTTCCCCAGCCCCTCTAAAGCCAGCAAGGGAAGGCTGGGGCTAATGTTCACCAGAAGACACAGCTATGGTGATGGCACTTTTGCAATATATATAGTAGACCCATGGTATCTGTGGGAATGTCGTTCCAAGAAGACAGTCATTGAGGAAAACAGAATGCTCAGAAGGCATGGAGTTAAGTATTCTAAAATTACTTGAATTTACCTATACAATACATACAGTAGGTCTGAGCATCCATTACTTGAAGCTGTATGGAGTAGGCTACATTGCTGTCACAAAAATCATTGTGAACGTTAACAATGTTTACCAAAAACTAGATCTTATTTCTCAAACACTGTGGATGCTTGATTCATTTTTCCTACAACTCTGCCCATCTTCCTCTAAAGACATTCTGTATTCTAACAAATATAAAAATTTCACTTTATCACTTAGATTAAGCATAATACATACACTTTTGGCTTGGGAGGATTACAACTTTTACCTTGGTTTGGGGTCAGCATTTGCTTTTTTGGGAGACAAATTTTCATAAAATCAAGGGCCAAGAAACACTCAGAAGATCATACAAGAATTTAACACAACTGCTGATAAAGTAGACCTGACTAAGAGCTTCCTCATGACAACTGAGCTGCATAATGCATGTGTGAGAACTTAAAACTTCTGTTTTGGAACTTTCTTTTCATTTAAAAAAATTTATTATAATATTTGACTGCTCTTGCTCACAACCATGTGCAACAAATTTGTGAATAAAGCAGATTTGCTGTACAGAGAAATATGGTTGTAGGTTGGCAAGCAGGGGCTATGCTGCCCTGCCCCCCCAATGCTCCCACCAACTCACTCCACCTCCCACCAGGAAACTCTTCCCAGGACTCCTCATAATCCTCTAATTGAAGAAGTGTAACCTGATTCAGTAGAAGGGATCCAGGTCATCCGTAAGATGGATGTTGTTCTAATTGGTGAGAGCCCATGTTGGAAAGCATGTTAAATATTAAAAAAAAAATCACATTATCCCACTAAGCCTTCCTCCTCAACACACATCCAGCCTACAAGAATTGTTCCTACCTAATGCCTGGACTTTCCTTAGGTTCACTACACCCCTCTAACCATAAACAGCAGATAAACTGGTATAGGTGCTAATAGCCTCTCAGATTCTGGCCCCAAACTCCCCCTTGCTCAACTCCATTAACAAGATTCCTGTCCTCTGTATCCCCCATACTCTGTTTTGTATCTGTGATCAGTAAATATGATAGAAAACCAAATTAGATATACCAAAATATGGGAGGTGTAAAGATAATGAAACTAAATAGGGAGCCATCTAAATGTATGATCTCACTATGGATTTTCATACTTACTCGCAACCTCTGATCCAAGTTCAATGCCCTTTAACTACTCACAAATAATGAGCCAATCTCTATTAGTAAGTGACTTGATAACCAGCCCAATTTTCTAAAGAAACCAGTTTCAAGGCAGGGACAGAAGGCATGGGATTATCACCTTTGTTCTCCCCGCCATTCCTGTCTTCCTTTGGCCCTCAAAGACAGCCACAGTCTAAGAGGCATCACAGCACCGGTGGTGTTCTGTAAATAGAGAAACTCACCATAGCATTCTGCACACCTGCTGTCACCAACATTATCCTCAGTCCTTCTGGGGACACCAAACATGAAGGTTTCTTTGATATTTGTACAGGTTTGGCTGCTACTGTGAAACGGTGATGGGAGGCAGTGTTGGACAGGGATTCGGTCTTGGACTTGGAGGCTCTGTTGGGTCTGGTATCTTTAAATATAGTTTTCATAGCTTCAACAAAGGCTGCAGTAGTCTTCTCAGATGGGTCCACAAGGTAAATCTCTTTCAAGGTGCGTCCATCCGGCTTATATTGGAAGTTTTCCTTGATGGATGAAACAATGGTCTCTGTACACTGGTATAAGGGAAAGCCAAAGACTCCAGAACTAATAGCTGGGATGGCTATGGACCGGTACTTGTATTTCTCAGCTAAACGGAGGCTCATATCCACAGCTCTCTTTAACAGATACACACACCTGGGAGCCTCGTCTGCCTTCCATCGTGGCGCTACTGCATGGATCACACGGTGGCAAGTGAGCTTTCCTGCTTTCGAGATGGTGACATTGCCAGGTAGAAGCCTGCCTTCTATACTCACTATCTGATCACATTCTGTTTGCAGCTCTGGGCCAGCTGCTTTTAAGAGAGCAGCAGCAAGACCACCACTATGCTTAAGTTCTCATTCGCAGCATTCACCACCACATCGACGGGAAACTGAGTCAAGTCACCCTGTTGTGCAATCAGCGTGATGCCAGGGGCCAGATCCCTCTTACAGAAGCACTTGTGCCCGTCAGCGCTGCCCCCTCCTGCTCTTCATTCTCCTGGAGGTCAATGAAGCAGCCATACAACCGTTTGACCTCCCCTTTGTAATACCTTGCTTTATCCTGGAAGAATTGCCTGGCTCCTGGCTTATCAATTTGGAATGTTTTAAGACAGACTGAATCCCGCACTTTCTCAATGATGCTGGCACCTTCCAGCACTTCACACTTGGAGCCAACTAGCAAAATGCCTTTTTGTTTGTTGTCAGGCTTGAAAGTTATCTGCACATTTACTTTCTTTATTTTTGACAAGATGTCCTTCTTGTTTGCCTTTAAATAGTGCATAAGCAAGGTTGGCGTCACCTCAATCAATCTCTCCATTTTCATGTTTTTTTCCAAGAAGTCAAAAAGCAAGCTGTGGATTTCAGTGACTTCTCTCATGCAGCCTGTGATGGTCACCGCAGCCGGAGTTCCTGCAGCTAATTCATTGGTTACCACAATGTTTATGAAGGAATTGTGTTTCTTTTGCAAGCCATGAATTTCCTTTTTCCACTTATTGCTGTTGAGAACTTCCTTGTCCTCAACTTCAATGCGCTTATAATTTAAGGCACTGAGCATTTGCTTCTCAGCTTGTACCAGGTCTTCAAAAGAAAAGCTGGTTAATACAACACTTTTACCCTTTAGCTCATAAGTTGCAAGAATCTTCTTCTCTATAAAAAGAAGCTTAGACAATTCCTTACAGTCTACCTGCTGTAAAAAGTTGAAGACCTCAAGAGAAACCTGAATGTTTTTCTGATCCATGGCAAACACCTTTGCCTGGATTTCACACTTTATTTTATACACATCTGCACGGGGGCCTTTCAAATGTAGGAACCGAGTGGCTTCAGTATAAGAAATTTCCATCTCTGGGCACTCTGTGCATAGATGCTCCAGGACGCCTCTGTGTTGCAAAAGAAAATACTTTCCTGGAGAGATGCACACCTTTTCCTCCAGACTTTCCTCTTCCTTTCTAATTTTTTGCATGGTGCTTTTTATTAATTCCTTAATTTTCAGGTCAATATTTTGGACATCTTCTGATTTTCCTGCTAAGGTAATAATCTCCTTAAGTGTATCAAACTCAATCAAAATGCTATCATCTTCTAAGTCATATTTTATGGCATCCCACACTACTGGGTCCACTTTAAATGAGGTCACTTTATATTTAGACCTGATGCCAGAGAGTGCTGTGGATGCATCTTTCTGCCAGGTCTTGATCATCGGCCTTTTTTGATTGACTAGGGTGGCTGCAGGTCTGATGGTCACCATACTGTTGACTTGGGACCAGGTTAGCTCACAGTGACAACCTCTCATTTCATCATTTATCTCCTCAATCAGAGGATTCACTTTCTGAAAGAACTTCCACAAGGCAGGATCCAGTGACTCTTGGAATGGTTCTGGGAGATTGATCAGAGGCTTCTCCTTGCCATACAAGGCTGTGCCCAAAGAGGGGTAGTAGGGGAAGACAGAGAGCGGCATCTTATTGAAGTTATGTTTCTTTTTGATGACGGTGTTCCAAACTTTAATAGCAAAAAATAAAAAAATAAATAAAAATAAAGTAATCTCAATGTGATATGTGTCAAATGAAACCAAAGAAGATAAAACTTCCATCCTAGAAGAGAGAAATCCTAATGTTTATAGAACTTTGATGTGACATTTTTAAAAGCCAGAAGTATCCCCACAGTACGGAGATGTAAATGTTATGTATTAACAGTGCACAGGTGATCTTATTTAATGCAGTAATTGTTTTCTACCCTAGATCACTCTATGCTGAAATCCTGTTAATTAAATTCTATTCTCTGTTTTTTGATATCACTGATGTATTATTACCATGTTAAGAAACAGATAAGAGTGTGTTCCTAAGCATGTGGAAGATGTTTGACACAGTGTAAAGAATATTTCGGTGCTTAAAGTACAATTCATCTGAGTCTCATGCTATTTGTTCCTTCTTGTAAAGTCCCAGAAATGAAGCCTTCACAGTTGACTAACATTCCATGAATACTTTCACAAGGAAAAGCGTAATAACTGTGACAGTTTACCATGTGCCAGACACTATTCTAGGTGCTTTACACAAATTTAATTCATGGAACCCTCACAACAGCTCTTTGAGGTAAAGACACTATTATTATCATCCCTATTCATAAATGCTAACACTGAGGCTGGGAAAGGTTAGGTAACTTGAGCAGGATTCTACAGAATAGGGTAAATATTTGAGCTAATATTCAACAGTTGTCAGCCTCAAAGCCCATGCTCTTCCCCTCTATTAACCCAATATTGTCCTCATGGTCATCTGGGAGCCCAGGCCAGAGACTATGATTCAGTGAGCTCTGCACCTTCTCCTGCCTCTGCTACAATCTCCCTCCTGCCACTTGTACTGGGACAGCCCCCACCATGTGTGTGTGTGTGTGTGTGTGTGTGTGTGTGTGTTTTCTTTTCCAAGCCCCTCCTCATTTTGTGTTAGCTTTTAGGCAGGTACAAGAAGTATCAGCAGGGGGATAAGAATGAATCCCAATAATACTTGGATTAAAATGCTTTGATGGTGAACGAGGTTAAAATAAGCTCATCTTATGTGTGGCTGGGAGCTAGGGCTGGTGTCAGGCATGACGGAAAGAATATGACCATCAAAGGCCTAAAAGAGGCTCTGTGCCATAGCAGCAACAGGGATAATAGATAATACTGAGCAGAGCCCTGTGCCAAAAACTTTGCAGGTACCATTTCATTTAATTATGCTAACATTTCTCTAAGGTAGCAAATTTAATGTGATACCCATTTTATAGATAAGAAAACAGAGGATTTGGTGGGTTACAGAAACTTGCCCAAGATCACAGTTTAGCTAAGATTCAAACTCAGGTCTGTTTGACTCAAGAACCACTGACATCATACCTTAATATGCCTAGCAATTCCATCCTGGCAACATCAGGTTAGTAGAGAGGAAGAATAATACGTGATGACACACACAGGTACAATACAAAATAGCAAAACTTTACAGGAACTCTTACATATGTATGTTTTAATCTAAATTTCTTGGAATTAATTTGAGAATTTATGTCAATGGCTAAAATCAAATTGTTTTTTCATCTATGGTAATTTAATGGTTCTAAAAATGATACATTTTTCAGTCAATCATAGGTGGAGACCCATTAGAGAATCTCCCCTTCTCTTTCAAAACTAGGTATTTCTTCTCTAAAGTTTGAATTGCTGCCCTCATTAAACATCATATCCCAAGTGTACAGATGACTAATTTAATTTCTGACAAAATCATACGGATAAACAAGCAAAATGCACCAGACCTGCTAAAATAGTCTACTTCATGCCAGGTGTGTGAGGCTGAGAGCTGTTACCTTTTCTGTCACAAAATTCAACCAGAGCCGAACTCTCTTCAGGAAAACATTCAACACTGGCAACTCTTCCTCCTCCATTAAAAGGATTTTCAAAGAAAAGCTGTAACTGGTAGTCATCAACACTAGGTGGCAGGTTTTCAACCTTGATTGTTTTTGTTATTTCTAGAAGTCTTGGAGAAATCTGAAGTTTTTTAATTGAATGGTGCCTGGTACAATCATCAACAAACTTCATGGTATCTACAAAAGAAAAACATCAGAAATTCATGCTTATATTTCTATATTATATAGAAGAAATGGTATGATCATTAACTGAGATAAAAGAGAAAGCTAATCACTCCATTTTGGAGTAGAGTTCCTGTAAATTGCTACTAATTTGCCATAAGATTTTAATACCTACATGAAAACACACATGCCTAAAACTCCCTGTCTCTGAGAGATACACATATAAATGTCTCACCTTGTTATTGCCACTGAGCTATGTCTCTCAGGTCATAGTTGTGGCCACCCCCTGAGTGTTTTTCTACAATACATCTCCTCCTTTCATTCCTTTCTCAGACCCTTCAGTGGCCCCTTATCTGCAGGTAGGAGACCATGCTCCTTAGGCAGGTTCATAGTGCCATTGACTGTTAGATTCCAAACAAATTTCTAAGCATCACCTTTGGTTCTTCCCTGCCATTCATTTTGTTTTTCATGTTGCTACAAATGCCAGTCATTATTTTTAATTTCCTGTGTCTGGAATGCCCTTCTCCAACTTTTTTTTGCTGGTTTTTGTTTTTTGCTGTGATAGATGCCTTGTCATGTTAGGCAAACATTTTGCCACCAAGCTCATCCCCAGCCCTCTGCAACTTTTTTTAATCTTGCCTTTGTTCATCCTTCATGTCTTTTTTCAAGTTAATAAAGACTGATGGTGGGCCCATGATGTACCACTGTGTGAGGGTTTGGGAATACAGGTATGAATCTAAGTCCTTGCCAGCTTCTCATCCAGAAGGAAGAAGTCTTAAAAGCAAAAATTTGTCTCTCATGGGATCAAATAAGGGAAAAACACTGAGAAGCAGACTTGGATTTGCACTGTACATGGTCTCTGATCTGGGTTTTGAATGATAGAGAGGGGTTTACCAGGTGGATAAGGTAAAAGACAGAGACAGAGGAAACAGCTTAGTGCATTTGGAATAGCTTAGTACATTTTGGGCAAAATCAACTGGTCCTTCTGGTGTACAGACTTGAGAAGAGGAGGACTAAGCACCTTGTTACTCATAGCTGAGATCATAGTTTCTCATTATTCACTTACACAGGAGCTTCCTCTCTGCTCCCAGAGTGTGAATTCTTCAAGAGCAGGAAATATGATTTATTCATCTTTGTGCCCACAGCATCTAAACCAGTGCCTGGCACATAGTAGGTGCTATTGTTTGGATCTAGAATGTTCCCCAAGTCCCATGTGCTAAAGACTTAGTCTCTAGCTTGGTGCTATTGGCAAGTGGAGGAAACATTAAGAGGTAGGGCCTAGTGGGAGGTCTTCCAATCACTGGGTGGGATAGAAGGGCATAGGGTGACCTTGCCCCTTCTTCTCTCTGTTTCAGTCGTGAGATAAGCAGTTTGCCATGTGCTGGCACCATGTTGTGATGCCTTACCATAGGCAAGAGCAACTGACCATGGACTGCAACCTCTAAAAACTGTAAGACAAAATAAATCATTTGTCTTCATAAGCTGATGATCTCAGGTACTCATTATAGTAACAGAAACCTGACTATCACAGTAGAAGTTCAAAATTTTTTTTTGGAGGTACTGGGTTTGAACTTGGAGTGTCATGCTTGCTAGGCAGGTCCTCTACCACTTGAGGCTATTTTTGAGATAGGGTATCACAAACAATTTGCTGGGGCTGGCCTTGAACTATGATCCTCCTCATCTCTGCCTCCTGAGTAGCTAGGATTATAGGCATAAGCCACTGGCACCTGGCAAGATTTTTGATCAATGAACAAAAGCAAGTCCATCTTTAGATTTTTCCCTTAAAAGAAATAATAATAAGCTTGAAATAAGAATAGCTTCCTTTATTGAATCCTTATGTCTTAGCTACTATGTTAACTGCCTTTCAAACATAACTTCACTTGATCCTAGAGAAACTTGGTAGGTATTATTATCCCCCAGCTCACAGAGGAGGAAAGTAAGGCCCAGAAAAGTCAGCAACTTAGCCAGCCTCATATAGTTAAATGCCAGAGCTAGGATTTTGACTGCATGATCTGTGTTTTAATTACCATTCCACTGCCATGGCCATGGGACAGTAAGGGTGTGGAATTGGAAATGTCCCTTGTTTTACTTGGAGATGTTCTTCCTCATGACAATGACCTTAAAGAGCACTGTTTTCTACATCACATGCACTTAACTCATCCATGAATATGTGAATGACTAGAAATCACTAGGTAAATATGGTAAAGTGGGTAAGAGAACAGGCTGTAGAGGTCTGCTGCCTGGATTCAAATCAGGTTCTTCCATTTATGAGCACTTTTGTGCCTCTGTATTCCCAAGTGTGGATTGGGGGATAGTAAGTAATTCCATAAGGTTGTTGAAAGGGACAAATAAATTAATACTTATAAATTAATACTTGTAAAAACCTAGCATAGTACCTGATTTACAGTAAGTGTATGTGTGGTTGTTAATATTGTTACCTCCCAGTAAGTCCAGCTGTAAATAGATCAATATTTACTCCTCCCAGTGAGGCAACACATGAAAATGCTGACTCCTTACTTGTTATCACTTTAATAACCTTAGACTTTAGACCTCTATTGGAGTGTTCTCTCTCCCTCTTCCTCTCTCTTTCTCTCTTCTCTCTCTCTGTCCCTTATTCTCTTCCTTTTACACACACACACACACACACACACATGCACACATACACACACATGCACACATACACACACATGCACACACGAGAACTCATAAATAAAGGTCAATGTATTAAACATATTCCAAAGAGTCACACTTTCAGAGATGTTACATTAACTGGGTGTTCCCAACCCCAAACGTTATACAAAGAGGACTATCAAATGGAATGTCACTTGAGCTCACCAGTATGTTTTTGAAAGGTAACCACAGCAACATCAATCTCTCGTATGACTTCCACCTGAAAGTTATCACTGGTCAGGCCACTTATGTTCTCCACTAGTAAGGTTAACATCATGTCAGTCACATTTTCCTTGAGATTTTCAAATGCCACCAAAGAAGAAACATTTTCACATTCTTTTGGGATGTCTTCCATTTTTCTTGATGTATTACTGAGAGAAGGTTTTGTATCCAGTTCTTCTGATACATCTGGTTTTTGGGAAACAAGACATACAAGATATTATATTCATCTATCATGGTCTTAGCAGAGTAAATTATCCTAAGACCTGACCCCTTTCTTTTCTGACTTGGCTACCTCAACTAAAAGCAGTTCTTGGATAGCTTTTTGCTTTAGTGAATTAAAAAATAAAAGGTAGCATTTAATCGTCTATTATTTATTATTACTACTAGCTCAGTTTTATTATGTCTTGTCTCTCCAAGGAGCCTGCCTCATCCTTCATAGCACTTGACATTTATTTCTATCACAGCACTACATTCTAACTACAGAACTAAGTTTCTTAAAAGCAAGATCAAAGCATGTTCATCCTTGTATTCCTGGCACATGGTATATAGCTGAGCCTCAGTAAATGTTTGCTGAATTGGAGAACTACTACAAGAATATCTGATGATGTGCACACACTCATGCTAAATAAAAAATAGCTTAAGGAGTAACTGTCAACATAGCAGTATTAAATGAGATAGGCGTGACCAACTAGAACAGGTACTGGGCTACGGACGAACGTATATGTCTTCAATCCCTGGCTGCTCCTCTTTAGTGAAGTGACCTTTGGGCAAGTCTGTTAATTATAAAATGAGAACAGTGGACTAAGTGATCAAGATATATGAAAGGTTAAAAAGGAGAGATGCCTAAAATTCCTGGAATGTGAAGGACAAATTGGTTGTGTACCTCAAAAAACACAAGGAAGCCAAAAGGGCACTAGTTTGGGGAGGAAGAAGACACAGGTGGATTCAAATATGTTGGCCCTGATTTCCAACAGAGAGCTAGAATTTAAAATGGAGTCTACATTGGGGATAAGGATGAGGAAATTTCAGAATTTGCTGACCACAAATGACCAGCATTTCTCTGTCTTTGCCCTTATTTCTTCTGCAAGATTTTTCCAGTTCTTGGTTTTCACCTTTCTGACCCAGCCTAACTAAGCCTAGCCTGGCACCAGGCACTGGTTTTGCTGGTGTGGGCCAGGCCCTGGGCTGTCAACTCCTACAAACTTCTGAGTTTTCAACATTCTGCATTGAGTTTCAGGTATGCCCAATCCTCTGCTTCCCTATGCTTGAGATTTAGGACGAGTTAGGTAACTACCCTCCACACATATTTTGCTCTATTTTGAAACTGTCTTTTCTTCCTCCCTGTAAGGAGCCAACATAAGGACCTACTGAAGAGCACCCAGCTTCCCACCTGCCTGCTACCCTTAGAGTCTGGGTCACGTAAAAACCTGTTAGAAATGGCTCTAAGATCTCCAGGATGATGAAAATTCCATGGTAGAGAGGGACTGCAAGATCCCATTGAGAATATGCTCAGGGTTTGAAGCACGTTTGCAACAACACTAGCAAATCAGTTAAAACAAAGTTCATATAAAATCTATAAAACTACAAGAACACTGACAATTAAAATTTAGATTCAGAAATACAGTGCAAATATAAATACACAAATATCAAGCCACTTCCGGGTCTAAAATTGAACTTGAGAGTACAGCACTTATGATGTCTTCCAAAAAAATGGTAAAAATTTAAGGAATCATAAAAAAAACTTAGAAACTGATGAGTCAATTTCATATCTGATGAAAGGAAGCAGGAATTTTTCTAAACAGACAAAAAAATTCTTATTTCCTAAGACTCTTGAGAGTGGGACTAATCTAAGGACAAAAAAAAAAGATTCCTATCTCATAAAAATCTTGGGCTTCTTAAGAAAAACACACAAGTCTACAGGGTAAGAGCACATCCATATTAGGTGAACTCTATGCGTCCCTAACCAGTCATTTTGCTGAGTAAAAGTAGCTTTCATTCTAATGCCAGTTTGAAAAAGAGAAAGGTGCAGAAAACCACACATGTTCATGACGATTTCAAGACGAGAGGACAATGCTGACACATTTTTAAGAATGCCATTTCCGTAAGATTTGGATGTATGTGTCGCTTTCTCACTCTTGGTGCATTCAGCGAGGTTCATCATTTCCTACCCTTTGTATCAACGTGTTTAGCCATGAAAACTAGTTGCTTCTTCATAAATGTCAGGGCAATGCCCAGCCACGAGTTGAATGCCAGAGTCCACAGGCTACTTCGCTCTAGCTATTTCTCACCAGAGCTGAGGTGAGAAGACTTGCTGCCTTGGGGACACTGCACCCACTTCTGCACAAGGGTTGGGGAGCTACTGTCCACCAAGAAGTCACTCCTCCCTGCCGTGGCTTCAGATGACACACACTGTTCACAAAACAGTGCTAAAGGACTCAGCCACACAGCATCCATGGCCACGTCCTGTCCTGGCCTCTCATTGGCTGCCTGGGCACGGATGGGCCCTAGCTTTCAGTTCATTGTCAACTTCCAGGCACTTTTCAACTACACACATCTCCCAGCACCCAGAGGAGGTCCTGACTTGAGCCCAAGGGAACCCACAGGGTCTGCCCTCCACACAGATGGCTCAGAGACAAAGATGATGCAGCCCAGCGTAGTGCAGGCCAAGTACAGAGGGAAAATCCCCAAGTGACTTCCTTAATGACAGCAAAACTGCTTGGTGAAGGTCGGAGCTACCTCAACTGAGACTTTACCTGGTTCTTTGACATCTTCTTTCACCTTGGATTCCTGAAATCAAACAATAAACTGGATCAGTATACTACTAATTATTTCTTTACATCAAGAAAATATCCCCAGACAGCCTGCAGATGTAGGGCAAACAGAAGTGATAATGAAACACTTCTGCAGTGGGGATTTTGAATGCATCTGGGGCCACATGTCACTTCATGTCCACTTGCTAGTGACAACAATCATTGGTGAGAATGAGACTTAAATAATAGAATCCCCGATTCACACCAGGTGTTTGGGGTGTGGGTTAAGACCTGAATCAGAAAAAGAGCTTAGCTTATGATTTCCCCCCTCAGCATTTATTGAGAGAGTACTATGCAACATGCTTTGTGCCATGTGTTTGATAGATGTCGTCTCATTTAATCCTCACAATAATCTGACAACCCATTTTACATCTGAGGAGATAACACATATAATATGAACCACACTGTCTTCAAAATGATGTGGAAATAAAACAAAGTAGCAACTTTTAGGTTATAAAGAAGCCAAGATAACCATTTATATATACCAAACCAACATCATTGTAACCCCCAAGTCTTGGCCTTTCCAACAAAAAGTGCCTACTCCTTCATTATTTCATACTTTCTCATCAGTGCTCTCACTCAATCCAAATCTCTTAGCAGCCACTCTCACTCCAATTTGATTTTCACTCCTCATCCCACCATGTTTTTTTCACTGAGATTCCCATCCCACACACCTTGGGAGAACACCCTCCCTTTGAATCACTCCTCAAATTTGCTTACCTCTGCTGGTGTCCTCCCCTTAATGACTGTGGTTTCATCTGGGCCTGTGGGCAACCAAACTGTTAACTTGAATGTTCCTTTCCCTGGCCAGACCAATTCATGTTTCTCTTTCTCCAGAACTTCCTGCCGAACTGAAATGTCAAATCAATCAATCAACAAACAAATAACAACAAAAACTCCCAAAGGCCAAATGACAAGTAATCTTTATTTATGTAAGTATTTTCTTATTTATGAACTTCATCACCACCCAGTTTCTCAAAGGAGTCTCTGTGTAGTAAAAATGGAAAAAGTTTAATAAGCAGACACAGATTTGAATTTCATGTTTGAACATACCTTTTAGTATTTAGTGCTATAGTTTAGATCTGCAGTGTCCCCCTAGGGCCCATGAATTTAAAGCTTAGTGGTCAGTGCATAGTGCTAAAGGTGGTGTTGGGACATTGCAGAAGTGGAGCTGAATGGGAGGAAGTTAAGGCATGGGAACATGCCTTTGAAGGGGCTACTGGGAATCTAGTCCCTTCCTCTTCTTCCCTTTTTCACTTCTGGCCATGAGGTGGAGGCTTCCTTTGCCAAACACTCACATGATGATATCTATTAATGAGGTTAGTGAATGTACTCTTGTTGTGTATATTAAATTGAAAAAAATTTTAAAAACTTAGTACAGTACCTGATACTCAGTAGGCACTCAAAAAGGCACCAATATTAATTCTATACTTCAGTGAACTAATGAAAGAATCCCAATTGGAGAGCTGGGAAAAAAGGCATACTGAAAATGGTATGATGAAAGCCGTATTTTGGAAAGCTAATGCAGGTGTTCATGTGCAGATTACCAAGCATCTGGCTAAAAACCATTTCAGCCACTTCATTACTTATAATGGTAAGGGCCTGACATCTGATAATAAGGGGAGTAGAAAAAAGGGATGAGAAATTGTTGCAAAAATAAACAAGTAAAAAGAGAATTCATACATAAGGCAGGTATGCTACAGTGAAAAAACTGGACAGGGGACATAAGAGTCAGATCTAGAGTTGACTTCCAATTTCACAAACTAGCTGAGTGACTGTAAGGAAATATCTTAACTTCTGTAGAGCCCAACATGTTGTCTGTGAACACTCTGGGTAACGCCCTCGAAAGCAATGCAAATGTCAGTTGTAATTATTAAAAGCAGCAGCCAGAGAGAGAGAGAAAAGGGAAATCAGTGTGTTTCAGATCATGGAGAACAAGGAAGGAGTGAGTTTAAAGGAGGGGGTGTGGCCAACATAGTGAGATGGTACAAAGAGGTCAGGGAGAAAGGGAATTTTGACAGCCCTGCTGTTTGAGCTATGGCTCTGGGATGATGTGTGAGCTGAGAATCTTTCACAAAGGGAGGGCATGATAGCTTTCCCAATTTGGCCAGCCACGAGGCCATGTGGTGAGCCAAGTCAGGCCTTCCCTGGGTGCCCACTCAGAAACAGACCTTAGAATCTACCTGAGAATAAGAGTGCACTCTAACTCCACTCTTCATGGGAAGGGAAGATGTTTCCACAAAGACTCATGCGGGTCTGTACGGAGCTGGAGCCAGGACTGAGGACTGGGTTGGACTCCTGAAGGCTGAGAGCAAGCTGTTTGTAAGCCACATTCTCTGATGTCATGTACCTCTGTGTTGCATTCCTACCTTTATTTCCTGGATTTTGATAAAGTCCATCCAAGCATCTGAACTGCCAGCAGCTTCTCAGAATAAGTATAATATGTCTAGACATAGATATTCCAGGAGAGGATGGTAGTAACACCAGTATGGGATCCCCAACAAGGGGAAAGTCAATCTGAGAGGAAGAACAGAAACTCTGTGCTCAGCCTCTCTTACCTACATTGACAGTCTCCCTCCTGCACCAACCTCAGGTCATCCACATCTAATTTTATTTAAGCAGATGAGTTTCCTTACTCCCAGGACCCCTGGGATCCTAGGCAGTAATCAGGTATCAAACTATGACTAATAAGGAATGATAAAATGTACACATTGGAGCTTAAAATATTATTCAGGGGCTGCAAATGTAGCTTGGCAGATGTAGAATGCTTAGGCAACATGAGCAGAGCCCTAGGTTCAACTACCAACACAGGAAAAAAATCATATTCCAATAAAATCCTCAGAAATACAGTTAACTATATAAAGGTGAAACTCAGTTTCCTATTCCTTTCTATTTGCTATATACTAATTTCAGGAAGTGTTGGTAGACTCACTCAGATGACTTGGCTATTACAGATTTATGTGAATAAAACCATATTACACTTTGGCCTGTACCAGCTATCGCTACTTCCTAGCATGCAGGGTAGAGGGTAGAGGGTATTCTCTCTGGGAAAGATCAGGACTGCAAGGGAAAGCTGCCCATTGCTAGAAAATACTAGATAACTTGCTCCTAAGAAAGTTGTTCCTCAGGTAGGGACCCTGAAATTGATGGGGATTTCCATGCCCTAAGAACTCTACTATTAACAGTTTTGAGTTTTAGTAAGCGTTGAGTCATCTGTGCTGAGAGGAAGGACAAGAGTGACCACTTGACCTGCCTGGGGGTGGAGGGAGAGGGATAGTGTGCTGGGAGCTAGAAAGGAGAGTCACATAGGGGATGGGTAAGCAGGCTGATTGCGTTACCCCACATTCACTGTACCCAATCTCCAGCACAGAGCTGGCAGTGTGCCTGGTTAACCTGCCCTGTAGGTGACTAAGATGCAGGTTTCCTCTGTCCCCAGTGTGACAGCTACTCCTGAAAGGATTCTAGAGAAGAAAGAAATCCCTGAGGGTCACGTCCATGGTGAAGGTGACAGCTGGAATCAAAGTGGGGAGCCTCTCTAGGAAAAGGAAAAGATGGAGGGGAAATGACTGACACTAGGCAGCAGCCCTTCTCCACCCTCCTGGTGAAATTAATTCCTAGACAACACGGCACTCTGTTTTCCATAAGGGATCTGAGCCAAGCAGGTCTCCTGTCCCAGTCCATCCTCTTGCTCTCAACCTGTCTCTCTCTTTTGTGTTTTCCTTTCTGGAGCCCTGCTGGGGCATTCCACTGCTCCACTGCATGTTCTCCAGAGCCCCCTTGCCTCTCCTCTGGCCCACATGCTTCCCCAAGTCCAAGGACAGGAAGGTGGCATTGTCTACATCCTGAGGGTCACCAGCAGTGTGTGAACTCCCAGAGGAAAAGGTGGCCTTCTTGGAATCCCAAGTCTGTGAATCCCATGGGCCTCCCATTGCAGACCTGAGCAAGCAGGTAACAGGTGGCTCTTGGCCTCCCTTCCTGAACAGGGACAGAGTGGGGAACAGGGGAGCCTTCAGCTGCTCAGAGGCCTGCTAGGAGGGAACTTTTCCCTTGCTCAAAACTCTCAACCCACATCACCTCAGAATGTCAGGTCACTGTGAGACCCAGAAGAGACAAGAACAGGTTCTGGACAGAGGTACACAACAGTACCTTTCCTCTTTGCGTTTTCACATCCAAATGTGGTAACAGTGCCTTTCCCCCTCCCAAGGGACCCCAGAATCACTGGAAATGTTCATGAACCACGAAGAATGCCCGAGACTTCCCATGTTTCTTCGCCCCCTTCTTTCCCAAGTGAAATAATCGTAACAGGGAAAGACAGGAAAGACTGACAGACTGACTCGCACAGTTCCTCCAGGCTGCGCCCAAGCGCGCAGGGGAATAGCAGTACTCAGGTTGTGCTCTTGAGTCCAACCCCTGCCACCTACCCTCACTACTGCTGGAGACTTCCTCCTCCACCCTTCTTCCACCCTCCCCCATCGGGCCACCAGTGTCCCCGCAGAAGGAGCCGGCCTGGTCCTCAGCGCTCCCCTCGCGCCCCTCACCGTCCTCGGGGAAGAAGAGCACCAGGAAGCGCCCCGGGCTCCCGGGCTCCGCGCGGACCTCGCACTCCCCGCCTCCCGATCTCTTCGGGCTCTGGAAGTACATCTGCAGCTTGGTACTCAAGTTCTTTGGGGGGTCGGAGCCCCAA